AGCTATGAGCATTTGACCCTTTATTCTTGAGAATTCTAACCTATTACTCTATAGTATATTTATAACACACAGCACTAGTCTGCCAACAAATAAAACGGTACACATGGCTGTGGCTATGAAATTACTTGAGCTCAGGAGCTGGTTGTCTACCTCGTTACTATTTGCCCCTGGAACCACTGTCTAACTCAGCTTTACACACTCTTTATCTCCCTTAGACCACCCATCATCAAAAATCATGAGTATGATATCAGCAGAACTAAAAAGTCAATTAAGTAGTAAGTCCTTCTTCTCGTATAGCCTTATTCCATATTACTCATCACCATTATGAAGAACAAATTACTCTTCTACAACAAGACAGAAGTTTTGTCTTTTAAGAGTAATGCATTTTCCTAGTAGCAGAGGACATGCATGTAAAAAGGAAGCAGTAGAGCTTTACCTCCTCCTTTTAAGAGGACACCATCTTTAACCCTGCACAGAAATTGTTGTTCTTGTTTATGCCGGCAGTGATGAAGTTTTCAGTGTTGGAAACCTCTTAAAGAGTTTTAAATACTTGTTTAAGTATTCACATATTGTAAAATTGGTGCTAATTAGTTCATGCATTTCCATTTGTATCTCTAAACTCCAGGAATTTACTCTCCATTCACATATGATATAATCCAGCCTAGGGTGCTTCCTAATGAACCATTAGGAACTTCATCTGCGAGGCCTGCTGTATCCCAAGTCATCCTTCATAATGTGCTCTCAGGACTGTTAACAAATCCTTGATGGATTATGAAAATCAAACTACAAAAGTATGCGGTCTGAAAATATTTATGCTAAGTACCTTGCAGTCTCTTCCCTCAAAGCATTTACCTTAAAATTTTTAATAGAGAAGTCTTTACATGTTAACAAAAAATTTACCAATAATATGAAACTTAGTAGTTCCCTTAAATTTTTTTGCCATAAGGTACATGTGCTCACTGAAGAGACAGAGAGAGGGAAAATGAGAAATCATCTCTCAGGAGGGATGGCCATGCTGCAATCTCTCAGGATTTGGGGCACACACATGTACACCCGGCATGATCCCCAAGCTGCTGGTTTCAGGACTCTAACCATGTTTGGCCATGTGGGATTCAGCTGCCCCAACCTCCACACTACCTGCTGGTCCTTCCATTAAAAGTTATAATCATGAAAAAAAATTCAACATAGACCATTAGAACTATAAATTGAATACTGGGAGCAAACCATTCCCTAGGTTACACAAATTAGATAGTGATCCATTCTTGAAATTAGGGACCAGTAGGTAGTGCCGATCAATAACCAGGGGAACAAAACAAAGATGTTAACGGTCTCTTCAGGAGGCTTTTGAAGGATGGGGGAAAATAGAGGAAAATAGTGTATGAGTGATGAAGATAAAAATAATTTTTTGAAAGAGTAAGGGAAAACTCACAGGAGACAATGTGAAAGCGCACCACCGGCAACTCCTCATAGCCACCCACCCATGCTGTAGGCTGCCTACCCTCCTCTTGTACTGCACTTTCTATCCAGTTTTCTGTTGACTTAACACCAAAAGTCATCTGGACAGAGGACTGTTTGCAAAGCTATTGGTATAAATTAAAATATTCTTAAGTGTAGTTAAAAGGATTAATGTTCACTTTACAACTACGTATGCATTTACTTTAATGTTGAGGTTCCTCCGTACTTGGACAGAAGCCATGAATGAGATCATCTGCAACATGTGTAAATAGAAAATATGTGGGTAATAGTCTTATTTCTTCTTATGAATAGCAGTTGAAATTAATTCAAACACTACACAATTTTTAGTGGAGATTACAAATCCCATAGTGGGGATGTAAGGTTAAAAGCACTGCAACTATGATCAAAGAGATTTCCAAATTTTGAACAAAGCATTGATGACCTACGTGGTATATTATTACTTAAATGAATGGATCCCAACAATATCCACTGTAATAACATTTTACCAAAACATTTCTGGGAGTTCCTTGGGCATCTGTTAACAGTATCTTACAGAGTTTTTACAGAGGAAAATGATTGCTCCCTTCCTTACATTATTATTGGCCTCAAATGCTAGAACCTCTTAGATTAGAAAATTTACTGAGTCTTAGAATAAGGAGAATATGATAAAAAGCAAAGTTCTGGCTCTGTATTATTCTCCTCTCAGAAAGTGTCAGGATTTAAAAAAGAAAAAAGAAAATTAGGCTTATCAGGTCACTTACTGAAACAGTACCACTCTATTAAGAAATTAGAAAAGATTTACTTTACTAAAGTAGTATGTCTGATCTAAAACATTTAAATCTTTATGAAAGTCTCTGAGTGTTTTTTATTTCCTTGATTTACATAGGTTAGACTTTTAGGTCTTTTCCTACCAAACAACTATTGCTAAAACTATATATTACATAATTTAACATCTTACCTTTATACTTTTTCAATTGTATATTATTACAACAGAGTACCATCCTATAAGAATCTATAATAGTGGGGCTTTTTGTTATAGATCCAGTTTGAGTCATTCCATTATACACAAATACAATATTCTGAGATCTAAATTTTATTAAAATACTTGTTACTTTGGTGTTTTTATGTAAATAATAATCAAAGAAGACTAAGTCTTTAGGCTTCATATTATTCCCTTTTTTTCCCTTTCCTTAAAATTAGCCAAATTTCTAAATAAAAAAGTAAGGTTTTTACAGAGTAAATTTTCCATCTTAGAATTATTGTTTCTATAGAGCTAGGGGATGGCTTTAGATATATATTTTATATATATAAAATGGCAATTTTTTGTGGTTGACCTTAGACGAATGTTTTTGAACTTCTCAAAAGCATTGATATTAATGAGGAAGTAATGTTTTATATAACTGGAAATGAATAAATGAAGAACTTGGTAATGTATTACATTATCATGTCTAAATCATTTTCTTTTTTTTTTTTTTAAGAGAGATTTTTGCTGTACAGTGCTTGTCCTTACTGTAGAGACAGAAAGAAAAAGAGAGATCACTACCCCAGAGGGGAATAGTCACACCACAATCCCTTCTCCTCCATTCTCCTCTCAAGATTTTGGGCATGCACACACATGTACCTGGCATGATTTTCAAGCCACCGGGTCCAGGACTCAAACCACAGTTGGCAACGTGAGGGTTAAGTGCCTTAGCCACTACACTACCTGCTGGCCCCCTCAGTCATTTTCTAAAAGCTTAAATAAAATAAGAACATGAAAGGGCAGTGTGATCGAAATGTAAGTTCTTTTTCTACAGTAGAAACTTTCATAGACAAATTACGTAAGACCCGTGAATAGGAAGCATGAAACTGCTAGAAGTAATAAGTTGCCACTATGTATATGGCATAGTAGATTGTTAAATATCTTCACAAGCAAAATGATTTAAAATTGATTAAAAATAAATTCACATTTAGCATTTACACTCTAAACTTTCATGGTGGCTGATGAGAAAGCTGGAAGAAGTCATTGGGTTTTCCAGCTCTTCAGTTACAGCCTCACTTTCATCCAGCCCCCTGCCCGCCCCTCTGAAAGCAGCAGATACAAATCCATATGCCCTCTAAGTATCTGCATCTTCAGCAAGAGATAAGAAATGGAAGAGTTTTACCTTTTAGAAATGATGGAAGATAATAATAACATGATAGAATTACGTTTCTCATTCTATAATTAATTAGAAATTGGTGGATCCTGATGGCACTTTCAAAAAGATAGCATTCGGTCCAGCCAGCGGCGTGGTGGTTAAGGTGGCTGGATCCCACATGGCAATCTGTGTGACTCAAGTCCCAGACCCAGAGGCTTGAGAAACAATGGTAGTCATGAGCACATGTGTGCCCAAAATCCTGGAAGGAGAAATGGAGGAGAAGGGATTGAGGCATGACCATCTGCCATGGGGGAGGGGGTTCTTTCTCTCTTTTCCTCTGTCTCTCTCTGGCAAGCATATGCACCCTCTAGCAAGTTTTTTTAAAAAAGAAAAAAAGTATTTTTTTTTTTCAGGTGCACAAGCTACATTCAAGGAAGATCTAACATCATTTACACTTAGGGTTTAAATATACTTTGCATATTATTAACTATTTAAAAGGAATTATTTTAATTTTAATTTATTTTTTTTAGAAAGGGATTTTTACTATAGGATGTGTAAGCTCACCAGAGAGACAGAGAGAGATGGAGAGACAGAAAGCAAGAAATCACCCCCCCCACCACCAGGCGGGACGTCCACACTGCAATTCCTTCTCCTCCATTCTCTGTTGGAATTTTGGGCACACATGTACACGCTCCTGGTGTGTTTCTAGCTGCTCGGTCTGGGACTTGAATGCGGTTAACTACATGGGAGTCCAGTGACATAACCATTACGCCATCTGCTGGTCCCATATTTATTTTGTTTTAATTTGACCAGAGACCGAATGAGAGAGAGAGAGAGAGAGGAGGACTATGAGAAAGCAAGCCTCCTGGTCTAAGATTCAAACCACAGCTGACCATGTGGGAGTTCACATGGTGCCTTAACCACCATGCCACCTGCAAGCCCCACATATTAACTCTAAAAAGTACAACTTAATTTTAGGAATATAGGAAAGGTTTCTGTTTTTTTAAAATGAGTATGGGTCATGGCATGACTTTGGTTTTTTAACTTTAGATTCTCAAATCTAACAACTATCTTACATAGTCTATATATAGAGAAAGAAATAACGGGACTGTTGATGGGAAACACACATGGGATAAGTACGTATGAATGCACGGTTTTGCCTGAAAGTTTTGGAAATGTAGGAGTTGTTTTTCTTTGTAAGTACTTTTAACCAGTTAAGACCCATTAATTTCAAAAGCCAATGTAAGCAATTGTTTCTATCAGAAATAGTATTCTCCTCGTGAATACAAAGGGTTTCCCTTCCCTGCTCCCAGTTTGCTCCCTTAGCTGAAATCTGATAACTTGGTCAGGAAGACTTTTTCAAAAGTTGGGTCCTAGTGCTAACATATCCAGAAGTCAGAAAAATTCTAGGTTAAAATTGCCAGAATATCTTTTCATGCATTCTGTTATACTTTATTGTTACCATTGAAGCAAATTCAGGAATTTGGGGTGTCTCTGGCTACTTGAGTAAAACACACTACAAACCCAAAAGACACAAGTGTAAACAGAAGAGATGCTTGATTTCTGAACTGCCCTGCCCCTCTAAATATGAATAGGATCCTTGTTATCGCACGTGTTCATTCGGAATCCATTGTTAGAATTTGCTCCCAGGACACTGGAGCAAATCAGAATATTTTAATTCCATAACTTACTTAACAGCAGACAAGCAACTCTAACATGGACTTGAGGTTTAGGTAGATCTGCTATAATCTAGAATCCAAGCTTAAATTTTATACGTTTCCCAAGAGCAGAAGAAATTAAAACAGAGGTCCCAGCACTCACGACACCATGTGAAACAAAAAGCAATATTTCCAGTCCTAAGCAAACTGCAACCCTTTTAGTATAGCTTGAGGTATTTTTAAATATTTGTACAAGCTAAATAACATTCACAGTTTCCAAAATTGCTTTCTACTGAAATTTTCACAATATTTGACTTTCAGACATGTTTTCACGTGTCAGAATATCTGCCCTCAGACATGGAAATATCAGACAGCTCTTCAGTGGCAGGAAATGGTTCTTGTAGTAATGAGAGTTCTGTTTCCAATTCTTGTGCTATTCCTAGGTTGTGATTAAAAAAATAAGAAATTTGTAATTCATATAAAAGGGAACTTGCTTAAAATTCAAAAGGAAGTTCAGTCTGGTGGAGGTATATAAGACATTAAATAATAGAGTCATATTCTTTCTTGAAGATTCCAGATGAGCTTGACAGCAGAGAGTTCTGGTTCTCCAGCATTTTCTCTGACTTTTCTCCTGCAGTGGTTTTACTGATCTCTCTTTGCTTCTTACTGTGGATCCATGGGATAAAACAAAGCACAGCACCTCCAAGAAGGGGAGGGATTCCAGCGAGGTAGAATGCCACATCATAGGAGCCAAGCTTGTCACGTAGTAACCCTGAGAAGAGAAAAAGCTATCACTAAGAACAAGAGTGATTATTAGCAGTCTCAGATCATTCACACTGATGGGCTAGTCCCAGCCTAATGATGTCACCCCAGCAGGACTGGTTCAAACACCTTAGAAATATATTTGTAGGAAATGGACCTGAAATATACTTTCTGATAAGAGAAAAGAAAATATTTCATATCTTTAATCTGTGACCGAATACAAGCCTCTAGGTTTGCATATCAAGATATCACAGTACTTGGGAAAAAATATGTGCAACTAAACTTTGCTTTCTCAAAACTCTTACTTTTTCAAAACTCCTCAGAGGCCATGTGGGGTATTCTAACACATGGTTTACAGGTCCTTGATTCAACTGAAGGTGGACAGACTGTCCAGTTGAAATTTGTCTCATATGTACATACCTCAAAATGTCTACATTTCAAAACAGTCTTGTTAAAAAATTTTTATAAAATAACATGAAATTATTTAAAATGATAGCCTTGGGGTTGGTAGACAGTGTGCTGGTTGGGATGCTAGACTCCCACACAGTCGACTGTGGTTCAAGTCCCAGACCTGGAGGCTTGTTTTCTCACTTTCTCTCTCTCTCTCTCTCTCTCTCTCTGGTGAGTGTGCGTGCCCTATAGCAAATTTTAAAAATAATAGTAAATACATAAAAAAGAGAAAGAATGAACGAACGAACGAACAAGCTAGGCTATTAAATGTTAAATGAAATATACTAAGATTTCTTTTCTTTTTTTTCTTTTTTTTTGAGAGGTTTTTTGCTCTTAGGGCACGTGCACTCACCAGAAAGACAGAGAGAGACAGAGACAGAAAGCAAGAAATCACTCCCCAGGGAGGATGGCCATGCCACAATCCCTTCTCCATTCTCCTCTTGGGATCTTGGACACACACACACACACACACACACACACACCCACACACACCTGACATGAGTTTAAGCCACCGGGTCTGGAACCCGAACCACAGTTGACTACATGGGAGTCCAACAACATAGCCATTATGCCAACTGCTGGTCCCTTTTAATTTGACCAGAGAGAGAGAGAGAGATAGGAAAGGTGAAAAAGCAAGCCACCCAGTCCAGGACTCGAACCATGGTCGGCCATGTGGGAGTCCAGCGCCCGTAACCACCACACCACCTGCAGGCCCCAATTTCTTTTGTTTTTTAAGAGAGATTTTTGCTATAGGGCATGTGCGCTTGCCAGAGAGACAGAGACAGACAGAAAGTGAGAAATCATCCCCCAGGGGGATGACCACACCACAGGCCCTTCACTCTGCTCTCAGGATTTTGGGCACACATGCACAGGCACCCTGCATGAGTTTTAAGCTGCTGAGTGCAGGACTCAAACCACAGTCAACTACATGGGAGTTCAGCGATGCGACCATTTACGCCAACTGCTGGTCCTACTAAGATTTTAAAATTTCACTCAATTTCTTCAGTAGATTCAAAATCACTCATGAGTATGCTGTTTAGTTTCCACATATTTGTGTATTTTTGAGTGTTCTTTCTGTTGTGGATTTTAAGTTTAATTTTGCATTATGGTCAGAGGAGATGCCTAAAAAGTAGGATTTCTAGTCTTTTACATTTCCATAGGCTTGTTTTGTGCCCTATTATGTTATTAGCCTTTGAAAGTGGTCTATGTGCCACTGAGTGGGGGGTGATATGTCTTCTGTGTTTATTGGGAGAAATGCTCTATAAACGTCTGTCAGGTTTGTTTGGTTTATGGCATTGTTTAACTTTGGTGTCACTTTATTTATTTTTAATTTTTCATTTAGATCATCTGTTCAGTGGTGAGATTTGGGTGCTGAAATCCTCAACAATGAATATGTTTAAGTCAGTGTCTCCCTTTAGGTCTAAAAGTCTTTGATTAATGTATTTGTGAATGACCTGATGTTGTACATAAATATTTGTAATTGCTCTACTTGGTGAACTGATCTCTTTAATACTATATAATGACTGTCTATTTATGTAGATTTTATCTTGAAGTCTACTTTGTCTGATATTAAGATGGCTACACCTGCTTTGGTTTCTATTTGCATGGAAACCAAAGCAACATTTTACCCTCAGTCTGTGTGTATCTTACCAGTGAGGCGTGTTTTTAGCAAGCAGCAAATACAGGGCATTTCTTTTTTTAATCCATTCAGCCAATATATATCTTTGGATTGGACAATTTAATCCATTTACATTAAATATTAATATGTACAGATTTATAGCTGCCATTTGACTGGTTGGTTCCTGACTGCTGTGTTTTCTTGTTTCTTCTGTTATTATTTTTCTTTTCTGTTTGGTAGATTCCCATAGTGGAAGGGGATGAATCATTTGTCTTTGTGTGGTTGTTCTACTAGGGAATTTTACACCTTTGTGTGTTTCCACAGTTAATATGTCTTCCTCCTATTTCCAGATGTAGTGCTCCATTAAATATTTGAGAGCCAATCTAGTGTTGGTGACTTCCTTCAACTCTTGTTTAGGAGTGATTTTATTTCACCTTCAAATTTGAAGGAAAGTTTTGCTGGGAATATAGTATTCTTGGTTAGAACTCTTTCTCTTTCAGAATTCTGAAAATGTCATGCCATGCCGCCTTGGCCTGCATGATTTCTGCTGAGAAATCTGAGATTAGATAAAAGGATATCCTTTATAGGTAACTTGGCATTTATTTCTAACCACTTTTTAGATATTTTCATTTCTTTAACCTTTGGTATTTTGACTATAATGTGCCATGTAAAAGATCTTATGCTGAATGATTTGACAACCTTTGATATTCCTGGATATGGATATCTATCTCTGTACATTGAGGACAATGTCAGTTATTATTTCATGAAATAGTTTTTCTATGCCTTTCCCTATCCACTTTCTGGGAAATCCCTTATGTAGATATTTGGTCATCAAATCATGTCCCATAATTCCCATATATCCTTCCTTTTTTTTTTTTTTTTAATTTTGCTATAGGGCACAAGCAATCGCTGCACAGAGAGAGAGAGAGATAAGAAAGCACCTCCGAGGGAGGATGGCCACACCACAGTCCATTCTCTTCTCCCCTCTTGGGATTTTGGGCTTGCACACACACCGAGTGTTTTTCAGGCCACTGGAAAAGATAGCTGAGTGAAGATATCAGCTGAAAATAAGTAATGGCCTCTGTCTTGAGTGGGCTGTATATAGGAAGGATAGAGGTGTTGGCTGTGGCTAGTTGTTTCATTAGCCATTTGTCTGCAATTGAACTGTGCAATTGACCATAGGGATCCAGCCACCTCAACCACCATGCCACTTGACTGGCCCAACCCTCTTCATTTTTACTGGTTATTTTTTCTTTTTCATGTCTTGGACTATTTCAAAGGTTATGTCTTCATGTTCAGAAATTTTTCAGCATAGCATAGCCTGTTGGCGATCTGCTTTACAGAATTTTTTCAATTTCCTGTGTTGTATTCTTCATCTCCGGGATTTCTGTTTGATTCTTTTTTAAAATACATCTCTCTCTCTACTAAATCTTCCATGTCGTGCATGTTTTTCTCATCACCTGAAACTGTTTTGTTCACATCTCACTGAGTTTTGTTATAATCAATATTATAAAATCAATTCTTTTTTTTCTTTTCTTTATTTTTTGGAGAGGGTTTGTTATAGGGTGCATGTGCTCACCTATAACAAAGTTATAGGTGACAGAAAGCGAGAAATCACCCCCCAGGGGGGATGGCCATGCCGCAATCCCTTCTCCTTCATTCTTCTCTCGGAATCTTGGGCACACACCCACACATGCCTGGCGTGAGTTTTAAGCAACCAGGTCCGGGACTTGAACTGCAATTGAATACATGGGAGTCCAGCGACATAGCCATTATGCCAACTGCTGGTCCCTAAAATTCTAACAGTGCTCTCATTTCCTGCATTATGTCCATTACTAGTGTGCTCCTTTGGGGAAGAGGTATTTGTTTTTATCATTTCCTTGTGTATCTGCATTAATTTTTCAGCATCTGATGGAGAAGTTCTTCCTAATTTCTGGATTAAATTTTATAGTAGTGTCTTTGTTTGTTTGTTTTCTTTTTTCCTTATTGAAGACCACATTTCAGAGACACCAGTGGGGGTACTGGGGGCCTCCTGGCCTGTTTTTGGGTTCTAGGTGTGGTTAATGTCGTGTACTGGTGTTCCGACTGTAGAGGTAGGTTCCTTCAGAGTAATGGTGACTGCTGCCCTATAGAGTGGTTGTCTGAGTTCTCGGTAGGAATCAGGATCTTCCTCTTGAGTTAGCTGAGTGAAGATATCAGCTAAAAATAAGTAATGGCCTCTGTCTTGAGTGGGCTGTATATAGGAAGGATAGAGGTGTTGACTGTGGCTAGTTGTTTTATTAGCCATTTGTTTGCAATCTCTGGAGACAGAGGAAGCTGTCCACTCCAGTCCCTGGTTCTCTCCATAAAGATGGCAGCTCTCTGAAGATAGTTCAATGCAGGTGAGCACACCAGGGATTGTTGTGGGTATAGGACAGGGCTGGGTACTCCCTCCTGTAAGGCTGTTAGTCTGAGTGGGAATTATTCAGCTCGGGGAATGTGGCTGGGGTTGTCATGCTTCTGTGTGGCCAAGCGCCAGAGCTATAGCTGCATGTGTCTGCCTGCTAGGGCCCGGGCTAAGCAGAAGGAACTTTGCATGTTCAGTGGTGCCAGCCCCTTGCATCTGGTGGCCTGAGTGTCTCTTTATAGATGGAGGGGCAGCGCTGGGGCTGCTGCTTGTCTGCAGGGACAGGGATACTGTTGGCTTGTGTCATGTGGGAACTGTAGGTCTAGTAGTGCAAGCTACATGAGTCCAGTGGCACATGTGCACAGCTGGATAGAGGGAGTAGAGCTGCTGCCCAGTGAGAGCTGCCCATACTGGCCTATAGGACTGGGCTTCTAGGGCTAGAAAGTGGGTAGAGTGTTTGTTACTCTACCATGTTACTTTCCCTCAAGAGAGGAGATCCCTGGCACGCTCTTTGTAAGTTACCCCTCCCCACTCCTCCACTTACACTCCCTATTCAGGGAGGTCTGGAGAAGCTGCTGAGAAGCTGCTCCGGGGAAGGCAACAGAGGGGGCAGGGTACTGCTCCTGCTGTCCCGTGGGAGAGGGGAAGGGGAGTGGGAATTCAGTCCTGCCTGTCAGTCAGAAGGAATGCATGATTTGGTTCCTAGGGTGGTGCTGTGTGCCTGGGGTTTGGGGTGGAGGGAATTCCGCATTCCCTCTGGAGTGGCAGATCCTTGCAGCTCCCCTCTTGGTGCTCTCCTGCAGCTGGGAAATACTGGGATGTGAAGTAGAAGCAGGGAACTGGAAGCTTCAGTGGGAGTCCTACTTACCTCCCTCCTGTTGTAGGTGCCTCTGGTCGTCTCCAGGTCCTTTCTGAGTTTGGACATTTGACTTTTTTCTGTCTTCCACTTGAGGTTGGCACCTCAAACACTCCCCACATCCTGCTCTGTGTTCTCTCGGCCCCACCTCACTCCTCTATCCAACTTTCTTGCAATTTCCTATGAGCATATGCTATGATTGATGCCCCTCCTTGGCCATCTTGTCCTTCCTCAAATAACTCATACTTTAATTCCATTTTTTACAGACTTTTTGAAGTACTCTTGTACATTTGCATTTTGTCATAATTGTATTGAATCATCTTACACTGATTCACATTGGCACCCAAGTAATGTCATAAAACATAGTTATATTGTTATACAGAAGACTTCTAAAGATGAAATGCACATAACACAGAATTTACCATTTTGAAGTGGACAGTCCATTGGCATTTAGTACATTCACACTGTTGTAATAAATCATCACCTTATCTAGTTCCAAATTAGTTTCAAACTTATAAAAGGAAACTCCATCCCTAGTAGGTAGTTACTTTCCAATCCTCCTTCCCTGCAGTATCTGGTAGCCACCAATTCTCCATGGCTTCTCTATGGATTTGCCTATTCTGGCTACCTCATATAATGCAATCGTGCACTAGGTGACCATTTATATTTTGCTTCTTCGACCTAGCATAATGTGCTTATCAAATGTTCACAATGTTCATCCCTCTGGTATCAACATATATTAGTGCAGTGCTTCATTTCTTTTGAGTGTTGAATAATAATCCCTATGTTGATAGACACATTTTGTTTTTACATTAATGCACTGATTAAATGTTATTTTTCATCAGCTATCCCTTAGGAAGACAGAATCACTTACACAAAGCTTATATATATTAAATATCTTTTAGAATCTTCATCTTTTTAAAAAACTATGTTCCTGTTCCTGAGTAAAATATAGGAGCTGTGAAATCTGAAAGCCCAGATTACTGGTATACGTGTTTCTGAGTGTTTTAGATAACAGGATAAAGGGACTCCCCAGAAAACTTTGTCAATATACCATTTATAACCAATCTTGGAGTTAATATAATTACTTGAGAATCATAGTTACCTGCAATGGGTGGACCCACAGTCATGGGTATAGACATGAATCCGAGCAGAAATCCAATTGCTTGGGAGACATCCTGGGGACCAACTAACTCAAAGGCAATGGGGGCCATAATAGAAATGAAGCATCCATCGAAGAGACCCATGATGAGACAGACAGCAATGAGGGCTCCAAATACACTACACAGTGGAATCATCATGGACATCAGACCAATGAAGAGAAAGGAGAGTACCTAGGATAGAAGCCACAAGGTCAACTCTGCTCAGGAAAAATTAATGTTCTCATTTACCAAACAACATGCTTAGGACTTAAAAATGATGACTGGTCGATTCCTTTACCCCCTTGCTACTTCTTGGTTCACCTAACGCCTATAAACATCCCCTCTGAGGTCCCCTAATACTTTTCCATATGTCCCCTAAGGGATAAAAGGAAAGTAACTTTTTTTTTTTTAAAGGTTTTTGCTATAGGGCAAAACTCTGGTTTTGAAGTACACTCACCAGAGAGGAGAGATACAGAGAGACATTGAGGGAAAGTGAGAAATCATTCCTCAGGGAAGATGGCCATACACAATCCCTTCTCCTCCATTTGCTTCCTGGAATTTGGGGCATGCATGCACATGTTCCAGACATGGTTTTCAAGCCACCAAGTACAGGATCGTGGTAGGCCATATGGGAGTCCAGCCCCTTAACTACTATGCCACCTGCTGGTCCTACAAGTAACTATTTTTATATACTTATATTCGCTTCCAGCCTGCACACTCTTTGAGGTCAGAATCTGCAAACACACTCATCTCTGGACTAGATATAATGAGGTTTACTGATCTTGCACCTGGTCAGTTCTCAGCTCAAACTCATTCATCAAACACTTGGATTTTTTAAATTATTTATTATTATTTTAATTTGCTATAGGTCATGTGTACTTACCAGCAAGAGAGAGGTGGGGGGGGGGGGGGGTGGGAAAGCAGTTGTAT